TGACAGTTCTGATGATAACGCTGACTCCCTACCTGATATCACACCCTATTTGGGACCATGTTGCAATGGCTGGAGCGATGAGAAGAAAGACCGATATGACCGCCGGGCAGAAGCACTACGAGAACGGTTACAAAGAACCAATCTCGTTCCTCGTCTTCATCGAGTCGCAGGAAGCAAGAGCAGCTAAGCGGCATTCCCACATTTAAGGGAGTGATCCCGGCTCTGGCTAGTTTTGTGACTCTGGTCGAAGTCAAGTTTGAGTACTTTTCTGATTGCCGTTTGACGGACATGGATAAGATCAACTTGGTCATACCTCTTCTCGAAAACGAAGCCCGCCACTGGTACCTAGGGGTACACACACACATCAATCGTGTAGCTGCGAAAAGAGCGGGAATGCCATTCAATAAGAAAGGGCCACTCCAGACAGGGAAGAGTTTTCGTGAACGGTTAGAGCAGAGTCACGGAGGTGATAATGTGAATCGGGATAAAAATCTCCTCGAGTGGAATAACTTGGTGATGAACCCCAACCAGAGCGCTCCTTACCTGGACAAGATTATCGATCTGATGTACAAGCTAAATTACACAGACCATCAACAGGTGAAGGATAAGGTTTGGGCTGGGATAACAGCAAAACTACGGGCAGCATGGGCGTTAAAGACACCTCACCCCGAAAGCCTCAACGACTACCTGGATCCACTCCGACAGGTCGGTCATAACCTGGAGGATGACAAGCGTTTCGGACATCTCATTGACGAGAAACCCACGAGACCACGAGAGAAGAGAGAGAAGGAAACTTCTAAACCTGCTGGAAGGTTTAAGAAGAAAGAGAAAGGTTCAGGTTGGAAGGACAACAAATCGCGGAAGACCGCTAATGTTGGCGCCAGAAAGTAGGCAGGGACGTCTGAGTATGCTATTGCTCATCGAGACATCTCTCAGACCCTGACTGAGAAACGATGCAACAATAAGCAATGTACCAAGTGTGGGAGAGAAGGACACTTCTGGAGACAGTGTTCGGTTACCTCTCCTGTGGTACATGCTGTGAGGAATACCGCGGGAGTGAAACGGTCACGACCAAAAGTGGAATCCTCTACCAGTGGCAATAAGCGATTTAAGCGCATTGAAGCGTCTCGGCCGCCGCCATCTGGCCCCAAACTTTTGGAAGCCCGCAAACCCTCACCTACTATTATAGAGGTTGACACGGGTGATGAACTAGGTAAGAACCTAACCGTATGAAGGAATGATAACAGCTAATTTTCTAGACCCCTGAAGGTCTGATGGAAATAAATAGTCGCTCAAAGGATGGATTTAAGGTAAGAACCCATCAGCGATGACTAGCTCTTCAGTGCTGATGAAGTCTTTGACATCGGAATGTTGGAAGACTACCTCGTCAGATAGATGTTATGGTCGCACGCGGTGTTGGGTTTCTTTCTTTTGGTTCTTGGGTTCAGTCATTTCTTAAGGGTGGTTATGTTAGCTCATGTTGGACATTTCGGGGAAATTACTGTCAGGTTTTCTTTGATTTTGAGCATTCTGCTCCCAGGGGTCGCTCTGGAAAATGGGAACCGCGCGACATTTGGATGGGGCACAAAGATGCCCTGTTTGGCACCGGTTGACTGGACGTCTCTGGAGAGCAAATGCAATTTTCTTGTCTTATATGGGTCGCTTGTCTTGTACTTTGGAATTGGTCTTGGGTTATTAGTCTTGAATAAAAGTTACCTTTCAAGTTTACCTGAGGAGGGTTTAGTACCCGAAATCATACTGGCGTGAGAGTAAACAGCACTCCAATTCCCACTTGTTGATTAAACTCTTCTTGAAACGTTTACCGACCCGTTGTGGCCACTCTTGTGTCGAAAGGCAGGAGACTAGCAAGAATGAGTACTAAGAGACAAAGTAAGAAGGAGCAGCACTCTAGCCCACCCAAGCATAGCAAGTCTATTCACTTACGAGTGACACTAGATTGGCGCATAGGGTGTAGGCAAGTAAGTGCTGAAGCGCTTTTATTGTTAGATAGTGGAGCTACAGGTCCAGTGCTAAGTAGTAAATGGATTAAGAGTACCCAAGCTCCTTGTGTACGGAGAAGAATTCACACTCCAATACACGATACAAGTGGTAACCGCATACCGGGATCTGGTGTTCATTATACCAAGTCATTAGATCTGAAGATAGGCGATCACGTGAATGGTGTGCGTTTCAAGGTAGCAGATATGGCTGACACTCGTGTCGATGGCTATCTACCTATGTCGTGGTTAAAGGACCACAACCCAGACATCGATTGGAAAGTAGGATCACTGACCTGGCACTCAGATTTTTGTAAGGCGAATTGCCTGACAAAGCAGAGGCGGTTAGTTTATAAGACCGATGATGAACTGTTAGCTGAGGATCCCGAAAATGTATATTTTCTCGGGACAGTACAGTTCTCGGATGATACAGGCGAAGATGTCACAGTCCAGCTTCTACCAGAGTATAAGGACTTTGGAGACATCTTTAGTCAAGAGAGAATAGATACGTTACCGGAACATACAAAGTATGATCATAGAATTGATTTAATTCCCGGGAGTACGCCTCCATTTGGGCCTATCTATCCGATATCAGAGAAGGAGCGAAAAGCGCTCCGTGAGTTCATAAATGAAAT